CTTTTGTGAGAACATCAGCGAGCTGCAAATCAGAAGCAATGTGTGGAAGACAAACTTCTCCAGAAGTCACTTCTTCTCTGATAAAATGTCTATCCACTTCAATGTGCTTAGTTCGGTCATGCTGGACTGGGTTAGAAGTTACCCTTTCTCTGATAAAATGTCTATCCACTTCAATGTGCTTAGTTCGGTCATGCTGGACTGGGTTATGGGCAATGTTAATTGCTGCTTGGTTATCACAGTACAACATCATAGGTTCTTCTACCTGTACACCAATTTCTTCTAATAGGGAACGGATGCAGAGAAGCTCTGAATCTCCATGTGCCATGACCCTGTATTCAACTTCAACACTTGATCTTGCCACCACTGTTTGTTTCTTACTCTTCACGAGACAAGGTTACCCCCAACAAGGGTGCACACTCCTGAAGTTGATCTCCTGTCATCGAGGCATCCTGCCCAATTTGCATTTGTATAAGTCTCTAGTTTCAACTGTCCATGATTAGTAAACAATATGCCATGGGTGTCCCTTCAGATAAGCAAGAATCCTGTCAACTGCCTCCCAATGCTAGACTCGTGGAGCATGCATGTATTGACTTACCACACTTACTGCATAGGAAATGTCTGGTCTTGTCATATACAAGTATAGCAGCCGACCCACAAGTCTTTGATATCTCCCTATGTCCTTTACTAGCTCACCTTCTGATGCATTGATTCTATAATTCTGATCAATAGGGGTACTGATTGCCTTCGTTCCCAGCTTCCCTGTCTCTTGAAGAAGATCCAAGACATACTTCCTTTGAGAGATAAAAATTCCATGTTTTGATCTTGCAACTTCAGTGCTTAAGAAATATCTCCGTTCTCCAAGATCCTTAATTTCAAATTCTTTATGTAGATTCCTTTTCAGACAATCAGTCTCACTTAGGTCATTCCCCGTGACAACAATATCATCCACATAAACAATTAGGATTGACACCAAAGATCTCCTTCGCTTTACAAACAAGGTATGATCGGATTGAGTCTGAGTGTAGCCAATCAAGGCCTTTCTGAATCTGTCAAACCAAGCTCTGGGAGATTGTTTCAAGCCATAAAGTGACTTCTTAAGCCTGCATACCTTTCCCTTTTCAGCATCACTGTAAAAGCCAACAGGAAGATCCATATACACTTCCTCTTGCAGATYCCCATTTAGGAAAGCATTCTTCACATCAAGTTGAAACAAGGGCCAAGAGTATGAAGCAACAAGAGAAAGAAGTATCCGAACAGAGGTCATCTTTGCAACTGGTGCAAAAGTCTCTAAGTAATCAATGCCATAGGTCTGTGTGTACCCTTTTGCAACAAGTCTTGCCTTGTACCTTTCTATACTTCCATCTACCTTATATTTTACTATGTAAACCCATCTGCATCCAACTGTCTCCTTGCCCTTTGGTAGATCCACAATGTCCCATGTCTGATTCTTAATCAAAGCTGCCATCTCTTCCTGCATAGCTGTCTTCCACTCAGGTTTGAAGAGAGCACGGTAGGAAGGAGAAAGTCCATTGTAGGATAAATACTGTGAAATACAATGAGCAGTACACTTTCTCTTCCCTTTTCTGAGAGCAATAGGAAGATC